TTTGTAATCTATTCCAAAAGATAGCCATGTAAAAGATCACTGTATTGCAATGTATTAGACCCGATGATAGAGCTATTGGCAGGGCAGTAAAGGAGCACAGCAATAAGCACTCAACCCTGCGTAAAGATGGGGGTTCGAAACCAAGAAAAACTAAGACTTACATGTATGTGTGGGACAAGGGAGGGGATAATGAGATTTGTGTTGATGAAGAGTAGGAGTCACATGAAAAGAGGGAATAAGGATAGTGGCATTCCAGAAAAGAAAGGATAGTATGAGCAAGAATATGCAACTATGAAGCAATATGGATTATTTGATGCTTAAAGTCAAAGTAAGGAGTGGTGATAATGAAATTGCAGGTAAGTGGTTAGATCATGAAAAGTTTTGCATATTCTGTTAAGAAACTTGAAATTTTATTTTATAGGCTATAGTAAATCAGATTGGTTTTATAAATGTTTGTTATGAATATTCTTCAGAACCTGCATATTTGTGAAATTTGGGAAAAGAAGTAAAAAGTATTCCCATATTTTAGGTCATGGGACAGGATGGATGGCAATACCTTTTCCTGAGAACAGAAAATAAGACTTTTAGGGAGGTTAAGGCCTTATAATCTGCTAACCTGCCCAATGTAAATGGCTAATGAGTGGTAGAGCCTGGCTTTGATGTGACTCAAGAGTTAATGTTAATGTTGTTACTTATACTATACCACATCCTTTGAGTCTAAAGACAGCTGAAGAAAGTCATAACTTATATGAAATGATTTGAGAAAGTAGGATAATAATTCGGTTGTGACAGGAGTAGATGACTTGAGTAAAATATGAATCAGAATAGTGATTGAGGATAATGAAAGAGGGAAATGCCCAAAGACAAGTAAAAGAGTAGATATGCATCAATAAAAGTCAAACTGAAGTAGGACACTGAATTTATGTTATATTAATAATGATGATGATAATAATACTTAACAATTACAGAGCACTTTCTATGTTCCTAACATTATTTATGTGCTTTATTGTATTAATGGATTCTTACAACAACTCTCTGAGATAGGTGCCATTATCCCCATTTTACAGATGAGAAATCTAAGATGAAAAGTGGTTAAGCAATTTAATCAAGAGTAACAGCCAGAAGTAGTAGAGCCTAGATTTAAACTTAGACAATCTGCCTCCAGAATCCATGCTTTTAGCCACTATGCCTCTCAACATGTAATGATGTCTCTTTGCACAAGACTGCAATTTTCCAGCATGTTCATCTGGGAATAGAAATAGCAAAAGCAATTTAAAGTGTTGATCCAGGGTTGATATTACAGAGGAGGTACCACAGAGATCAGCTACAGGATTCAACTTATGAAAGGATTCAAAGAGGCTAAAATGTACTAACAGATGATGAGAAAAAGGGGACTAGAGAAGGTCTATGAGATTAAAAGCAGTTTATTTTTTTTAACTTGACAGGTAACGTGGTATGTATTTATCATGTATGATATGATGTTTTAAAGGATATATACAATGTGGGATGATGAAATGTAGCCATCAACAGATGCATTGAATCACAGTTATTTTTTGTGGTGAGAGCAGTTAGCATGCACTCTCTTTATGTTTTTCAAAAATAGATTGTTAACTGTAGTCATCTTGCTGTACAAAAGAGTTCTTAAATTTATTCTTCTTATATAACTATAATTATGTTTCCTTTAACTATCATCTTCTCATCCACCTCTTCCCCTTGACCACTCTGGCTGTAGTAACCACCTAACTATCTACGTCTTTGAGATCAACTTTATAGATTCTACAGATGAGTGAGACTATATGGTATTTCCCTCTCTGTGCCCGGCTTATTTCACTTACTATAACGTCCTCCTTGTTTATTCATGCTTTTTGCAATTGGCAGGATGTTCTTCTTTTTTATAGGTGAATATTACTCCACTGTGTATATGTACTACATTTTATTCATTTACTTATTGATAGACAGACACTTAGGTTGATTTCATATCTTGGCTATTGTGAATAATGCAGCAATCAACATGAGACTGCAAATATCTCTTCAAAACATTGATTTTATTTCCTTTGGATATTGTCAAAATATCCATACTATCCAAAGCAATCTACAGATTCAGTGTAATTCCTATCTTCACAGAAAGAGAAAAACAATCCTAAAAATGTGTATGGAACCACAAAAGGCCCTGAGTAGCCAAATTAATCCTGAACAAAAAGAATGGAGATGAGGGTATCACACTACCTGACTTTAAAATATACTACAGTAATAACCAAAATATTGCAATACTGGCATAAAAACAGACACAGAGACCAATAGAACAGAATTGAGAACCAGAAATAAATCCACACATTTATAACCAAGAACACACAATGGGGGAATGAACAGTCTTTTCAATAAAAGGTGTTGTGAGCTCTGTATATCTCCATGCAGAAGAATTAAATTAGACCCTTATCTCTCATCATATACAGAAATCAACTAAAAATGGATTAAAGACTTAAATGTAAGACCCAAAACTATAAAACTACTCGAAGAAAATATAGTGGAAAAGCTTTATGACATTAGTCTAGCTAATGATTTTTGAGATATGACTTTAAAAACACAGGTAACCAAACAAAAATAGACAAATGAGATTGTATCAATCGAAAAAGACTTCCCTGCATCAAAAGAAACAATCAGAGTGAAGAGACACCCTACAGAATGGAAGAGAATCATTGCAAACTGTATATCTGACAAGGGACCAATATGCAAAATATATAAGGACCTCAACTCAATAGCAAGAAAACAACTCAATTAAAAATGGGCAAAAAGGCGGGCTCGGTGGCTCAGCCTGTAATCCCGCGCCTTTGGGAGGCTGAGGTGAGTGAATTCCCTGAGCCTGCGGGTTCAAGACCCGCCTGGGCAGGCGAGACCTCATCTCTACAATAAATCAAAAAAATTAGCTGGGCATAGTAGCGTGCGCCTGTAGTTCCAACTACTTGGAAGGCTGAGGCGGAAGGATCGCCAGAGCCCAGCAGGTCAAGGCTGCGGTGGCCAGAAGCGGCCACTGCACTCCAGTCTGGGTGACAGAGACTCCAACTCAAAAAAAAAAAAAAAAAAAAAATGGGCAAAAGACTTGAATAGATATTTCTCAAAAGAAGACATAAAAATGGTATGTGATAATGCTCAGTAATACTACTTGCCAGGGAAATACAAGTTAAAACCACAATGAGATTTCACCTCAATCCAGTTAGAACGGCTATTATCAAAAAGACAAAAAACAATAAATGCTGGTGTGGATGTGGAAGAAAAGGAACTTTCACACAGAATTATGGAAACAGCACGGAAGTTCCTAAAACAAACTTACAATAGAACTACCATATGATTCCGCAATCTCACATCTAGGTAAAAGCAGTTTTGAATATGGCAGATGTTCTGAGAGAATTGGAATCCTCTCTCAAAAGAGTTTTAATCATAGAATGACATATTAAGTTCTATAATTTCTGAGGTATGCGGTTTCACCAATAGCTTTCTTTCCCTTAAGTACTGCACTATTTTGCCTTTAATAACAGTGAAGGCATTACAAAGCTAACCCACAGAAGAACTGATAAAACAGTTCTTTAAAAATTGAGAAGCCGGGCTTGGTGGCTCAGCCTGTAATCCCACGCTTTGGGAGGCTGAGGTGAGTGGATTGCCTGAGTCCGCGGGTTCGAGACCCACCTGGGCAGCGAGACCTCATCTCTACAATAAATCAAAAAATCAGCCGGGTGTGGTAGGGCGCCGGAGCCCAGCAGGTCGAGGCTGCGGTGGCCGGGAGCGGCCACTGCACTCCAGTCTGGGTGACAGAGTGAGACACCAACTCAAAAAATAAAATAAAATAAAAATTGAGAAGACACCCTATCGCATGAAACACAGTAAACATTTTGAGACATTTTTAAAAATTGAGAAGGCAGTGGTGAAGGGAGGTAGCACAAGAGAACTAAACTTTTAGCAAGGTGATACCAAGCAGTATAAGTATACTTATTGAGTTATAAAAGTACTCCTAGGAGAACTGCAAACAAAAATTATTTTAAAAAGGAATTTCCTCTGAGGAATGGAACTGGGGCTTTTCATTATAAGCCCATCTATTCTGTTACGCATGTATAACTTCTTTTTATTTTGAAGAAAAAGTGAGTATGAATTGCAGAAACTACGTCAAATGGAAAACAAAACTTTCTCCTTTCAGAAATATGGCATAATGATATAAAAGGTATTTTAATCTCTAATAATTATAAGGAAGATTATTATTTATGGATCAGAAACATTGAAGAATCCCTAAAAGATAGAAAACAAACAGGAAAGAGAGGGAAGGAGGGGGAGAAAAGAGAAGATAAGGGAAAGTGGAGTAGGTAAGGTGAGGAAAGAGGGGGAAGGAGAGGACACACATAACATGTTCAGAAAGAAGATAAATGTCTCTAGAAGACAAGAGCATGCATAATAATCGGAGGAGCTCAAGGCCTGGAGGTTGCAAGAAGTTGTATGTTTTCAAAGTAAAAAAACCAAAAGCTTCCCAACAAAACTGGACCCGCTCACAAAAGAAGTCTGGAAAAGAAGCTCCATGTATGTGCGAGCGCGTGTGTGAAATTCATCTCTTATTTGTCTGATATTTTTTATAAAACCAGTGAAGAAAAATGAATTTTTTAAAAGTGGATTTAGGAAGGCACAACAGAAAGGAATAGGGAGAGCAAATGGGAGGAAATGCAGAGAATGGTCAAAGTAGAAAATTAGAAGAGGAAGTAGGAGGTAGTTTGTTTTTCATTCTTTCACCAAAGTTTAAAGGGTGAGAGGAAGGATTGGAAGAATGGTCTTAAAAGTCCTGATTTTAGGTGAAGTTGTTTTGGCATTTGTACCATTAAAGGGTACCAGATAGTACCCTTTAATGGCACAAATAATCTTATGCCATGTAGTTTATAAGAGCGCAGCAGTGACCATGAGCTAAATATTACCACCATCTTCTTATGAGGTTTGTCTTGATAATGTTTCAGTTTATTCTCTTGTAGGGACCTCCAGGCATTGAGGGAGAATCTGGTCTGCAAGGCGAGCCAGGTGCAAAGGTAACCTTCCTAAAGGATAAAGGGGAGGGTCTCTAAATTTTCACCACTGAATCCCCTACATCTGCCATACTTTGACAAACATGCACCATCTTGAAAGCAGGTGGAGGCCAGCATATATAAACTAGAAGTGTTGTGGAACTCCTGTCCCTAGACATCCCCTCCATAATTAGACACACAACACACATACTAACAATTTTCTACTAAGAAAAGAGTTTAATCATTCCCTGTGTTTCTTCAGGGAGATGTTGGACCTGCAGGCAGTCCTGGAGGAACTGGGGAACCAGGGTTACGGGTAAGTACTGGAAACTCTTTTAATCCACTGATCCACTTATTTCAGAGACTCAAAATGTATTACCTAAACACTTCAAAAATAGCATAATATGCCGAGTGCGGTGACTCACGCCTATAATCCCAGCACTTTGGGAGGCCAAGATGAAAGGATTGCCTGAGCCTGTGGGTTCGAGACCAGCCTGGGCAACTTGGCAAGACCTCATCTCTACAATAAATCAAAAAATTAGCCAGGTAGTTCCAGCTACCTGGAAGGCTGAGGTGGAAGGATCTCCTGAGCCCAGCAGATTGAGGCTGCAGTGGTTGTGAGCGTGCCACTGCACTGCAGCCTGGGTGACAGAGTGAGACTCCAACTCAAAAAAAAAGCATAATAAACTTCTGGTGTGTACATATAGAAAATGTTTGTTTTTTTTTTATGATTTCAAAAACGGCATGCCAAACCCAGTCCCCATTCTAATTTAGTAGCATTTAAAGTCTTAACCTCATACATCCTTTTCTCAAATTCAGGTACACTCCATAGAACCTTTGCCAAAAATGGGAAGTCACTGTGGTTGTCACTAATGTTAGCATTAAGAAGAAATTCACAAATACCAGTGATCAACTCTCAGGATATTTCCTGATCTAACAAGACAGATAAAAGATTGAAATCTAGTTTATATTTTAAAAAATAAACCTCTAATCATGCAAAGGTAGCAAGATACAAGGAAATAATTGTAGACAGTTGTAATCAAATAACTTAGAGAAGTTATACGAATATAGACAGCCTTTATTTTGAGCTGCAGTAAGGAATTTTTTTTCTCAATATAACACGCCCAAGATCATTTTAAGAGGCTTTTGTTCACTAAAAGGCAAAGTAGAGAGATATGTTTTACATCCAATTTTTTTCTTTTCAGTTATTCCTTTTTTGTGTGATGGTATGAGTGGGAGGTGAAGAAATTGGGAGTGTCAGCAATAGGAGAGAAGTATGAACGAGCAATAATTTACTTGTAATTAACTAAGGTATCAAGAAAACTAGTGCTGCCTTTACAGCTCCATAAAGTGTGGCTGTGCATTCCTGCAAGTTCTGTATCTAGAAGAAAGCTTCTTAATGTATCAGAACCTTAATCTTTGTCTCTCCTCTGAAAGGGAGAAAATACAGAACCTCTAAAAATGTGATAGAGAGATCATAACTGAATCAAATTGTATTAACCCATGTAAATTGAATATAGCAATGCACACTAATTTTATGAGATGCAGTATTTATGTTCCTTGAACTCGGAAACATAGGTCAAGCTGTACAAATTTCTAGCTAGCTGGGCTCGGTGGCTCAGCCTGTAATCCCACATCTTTGGGAGGCTGAGTGGATTGCCTGAGTGGATTGCCGCAGGTTCCCAACCCGCCCTGGCAACTTGGTTGAGACCTCATCTCTATAATAAAACAAAAAATTAGCCGGGTGTGGTAGCGCGCGCCTGTAGTTCCAGCTACTCGGAAGGCTGAGGCGGAAGGATCGCCAGAGCCCAGCAAGTCGAGGCTGTGGTGGCCGGGAGCGGCCACTGCACTCCAGTCTGGGTGACAGAGTGAGACTCCAACTCAAAATAAATAAATAAATAAATAAATAAATTTCTAGAGCTGCCAACTGGTTATATATTACATTTAATTATCCAAAATTTCTTAATATTCTGGGACCATCTTATATTGAATGTACAATACTCTGACTCTTTAAATCATCCGCAGCACTTTTCAAGGCAAATTAAATCATGATTATTATACTGTCACATCCCATTTAGAAATGAAGTAGCAATAAATGAACACAAACCTGCTATTTTGTGTATATTCTAGGGGCAAAAAAATAAGATAAATGATATGGCAAAAAATGAATTTTGCTATCTCTACTACAAAATAGGGTGAACCAGGAGCTCCCGGAGAAGAAGGTCTCCAAGGAAAAGATGGATTAAAGGTAAATTATACATTTTTTCTCTTTATTTTATTATTGAGATGTGGGGCACAAGTCAGGATTAGGCACATAAATAGTCTACGTGCAGGTGAAGTCTGGGCTTCCAACTGGTCGTCACTCCCCCTTGTTTAAGCTCAGGTACCCTTTGTGGTGCCATGTGTCCTCCCTTTTTCCTTCCTCCCCCGGCAGTGTCCCATGACTGCCAATCCCTTCCTTGTGATCAGTGTTCAGGACCCACTTATGAGTGAGAACATATAATATTCAGTTCTTTGTTTCTGTGTTAGACCACTAAGTATGATAGACTCTAAATTCATTCAGTTTGCTGAGAAGATCATAATTTTGTCCTTTATAGCTGAGAAATACTCCATCAAGTAAATGTACCAGCTTTCTTTATCCGGCCCACTTTTGATGGACAGCAGAGTTGGTTCCATGTTTTTTTGTTGTTGTTGTTGTTTTTTGGTGGTTTTTTTTTGAGTTGGAGTATTACTCTGTCACGCAGACTGGGTGCAGTGGCCGCTCCCGGCCACCGCAGCCTTGACCCGCTGGGCTCCAGCAATCCTTCCGCCTCAGCCTTCCAAGTAGCTGGAACTACAGGCGCACGCCACTATGCCCAGCTAATTTTTTTGATTTATTTTGGAGATGATGTCTTGCCAAGTTGCCCAGGCAGGTGTCGAACCCGCGGGCTCAGGCAATTCACTCACCTCGGCCTCCCAAGGCGCGGGATTACAGGCTGAGCCACCAAGCCCAGCCTTGGTTCCATGTTTTTGCTATTGTGAATAAAATTGATGTTTTGTAAATTTTTTAAAATATTAGACATAATTATTTTTGTATGCCAAACAAAACCCTGCTTATTCTGTGGTATAATTATTTCACTGCATTCTTTTAAAAAGAAACAAAAATATTGGGTTATAGGGAGTTCCAGGAGAAAGAGGCCTTCCTGGAGAAGATGGAGAAAAAGGAGAGATGGGCTTACCAGGAACTATAGGGCCCTTGGGTAGACCAGGTCAAATGGGCCTTCCGGTGAGTACTACTGGGTTTATTTTCAAATTTAACTGAACTCAGTGACTATATGTACACATGCACACACTTGTGAGCATGCACACAGACTCACACACACTGACTTCCTTGCATATCTAATGGACAATGAGAGAGGTGGAACTGTGGCTGGAGAAAGAGACAGATCAAGGACTGATTATCATCTCTTCTAAGATCCAAGGGGGACACACACTATTTCCATATGCCATGGAATATCTGTCATAAAGCATTTATAAGGGAATGCTTTGTGTCGTCTCATACTTAGTTTGATGGAATATTTTGGATCTTTATTCATAGAACTGACATTATTATCGTAATGTCTTCACTCCAGGATGAAATGAGAAATTCTTTGCAAGCAAAATTAAAGCTATCCTAAATTTCAGTCTTATCTCAAGGGAGATTCAGAGCATCATACTGAACAAATTATTTCATTTTGAGGCAAATGGAAGATGTGAATAGACAATGAGAATCAGATCTCTCTTGCTTAAATGCTTAATTTATGATATTTGATATATTCTTCCATATATGGTCTCCCTGGTCATTTTACTGTTTTACCTTACTGTTCCCTCTCCCTTGCCTCATTTATTTATTTATTTATTTATTTAGAGTCAGAGTCTCACTCTGTCACTCAGGCTATAGTGCAGTGCAATGGCATGCTCATGACCACTGCAGCCTCCACCTGCTGGACTCAGACAATCCTTCCACCTCAGCCTTCCAAGTAGCTGGAACTACAGGCGTGTGCTTCTATGCCCAGCTAATTTTTTGACTTATTGTAGTGACGAGGTCTTGCCTGGCTGGTCTCAAACCTGTGAGCCTAGGCAATCCTCTTGCCTCTGCCTCCCAAAGTGCTGGGATTCCAGGCATGAGCCACCGCGCCCTGCTTGCCTCATATCTTTAAACATAGTTTCTCCCTAAGATTGTCCTGTCTTCTCTAAGTTTTCTTGCCTTTGGAAATACCCTCCTAACTTAGGAGTCATTCCTTTGATCTTACCAGAAAATGATCTCTCTTTCCTCTGGACTCTTGACAGTCTTATTCTGCCTTTTAAAGATTGTACCTTGTGAGTATGTAAGTTCCTTGCCCCCGAGAAGTCATAGCTCTTCAAATCCAGGTGCCCTGTCTTTCCTCCTGCCTATAAACCACACTGCTGTGCTCCAATTTTTCCACATGGAGGCTCAGTGAAGACTGAAGAATTAATCGTGAATGCACTCATCACGCAAGCAGGCTAGGAGACAAAGCAGTGGTTTATAAAGTGTGTAATTTTCATGCGTTTTTCCTGTCCTCCTCTTTCTTTGGCTTCTAACCTCCTGATCACTGAATATAATTTTATTTATATACTCTCATGAGGCCGCCCCTGTCAGCGCAATTAGTTTTATAGAACTAAAAGGAAAGTTCTGTCTGGAATACAATAAATATCCTAAACGAAACACAAAGTGCCTATCTCACCATTCACATTCACCAATGACGATAATTCCTTTAGCAGCAATTAAAATAAGACTGTAACACCCCTTCCCCCAAAGTAACAGATAGTTGTGCCAACATATTCCAAAATGGCATTTGAAGAATGAAGACGAACCAGAAATGTCACATATTTGGGGGCACTGGGAAAAAGAATCTTTCCTTCCTTCAGTTTTACAGCAGTGGTAAAGTGCCACCTTCCTCCATAGTGCTGCCCTCTCAGTCCTGGAGAAGTGTGAAGGATCTTTCACTACAGCAAATACAAAGAATTGAGAATCCTCCCAAAGCTATTAAATGGCATTGGTCCAGACACTAAACAACATGATGTCATTTATATGCTCTCAAAGAATCCTCCCAATAACCTACAGATGTTATTATTCCCCATTTTACCAGTGGAAAGAACTCAGGCTCAGAAAGCTGAAAGACGTATACAAGATAATATAGCAGATAGCAGAACTGACACTAACTTATTGATTTTCTGGCTTATGTGTCTCCAAGCCTCACTTATCTGTGAGTTAGCCAATTTTGGCCCCATAGTTTGCCTTTCTGTGGTTCTTAACAGTTTTCATCTTTTCTGGAGGACTCTTCCATTCACATCAGGTCTAGACCCACAGGGAAGGCAAGTAACAAATGCCAAGAAAGTATGATTTTCTTCCTGATAATTCTTGTCTAATTTATTTTTTATGGAAAAAATCCATTAACAATTATTCATACCTTAGCATGGGTTTCTTAGCTCAACTAGCCCCGTTCCCTAGCAGAATCCTAAGAGTTGGTAGGGAGAAGGAAAAAACAAGTAAGAAAAAAGAAGGCCTAAACATACGCCATAGGATAACATACAAGGAGTCCCAGAGAGGGTGATGGGCCGAGAAGAGATGAAAAGGGAGCTCAAAACAAGGCATGGAAAAAGGATAAACACAGATTTCATCTGCTTCATAATTTTTCCCAGGAACAGTCCTGCCTAGGACACATCTTTGGTGCCTTTTTTTAGTAACAACACATGTGTGTTTCTTTTTTATTCTTTTTGTTGTTCTCCTTGGAATTTTAAATGCCTTTCAGTTTATAAACTCAATAAAAATACCATGGCATATTTTTTCAAAAGAATTTTATGATCCAAGGAACTATTGCTTAATCAGAGAGCCTGATGCTGGATTTATTTTTGCACTTTTAGAGCTCTTCCTTAGGCAATGTGACAAAGATGCTACCTTGGATTCTTACAAAGTAAACAAGAGAATAAAAGAAAAAAACGTTTTTTTTCAAGGAGAGAGAAAGTCTTCTTACTTCCTAGAAGACTGAGGAATAAGATCTGGATTGAAAACTAAGGCAAGGGAAGCATCAGTAACAAATTCTAAATCCAGAAGCTTTCTTTAAGCAGAAGGAAAAGTTGTATGTTCTGCGCTAGAATTCTGTTCTAAAATGTTCAGTTGCCTAAATGCATAGCTCTATATGAGAAAAGAATTGGGAAACATCTGAAAATTTTTTGAAAATCTGCCTGACTTATGGTTTGTCATTCATGCTTTAAAATCTACCACTATGGGATCTGAGATCTCAACAGATGTAGTGCTGTGAACCAAAGTTGAATGTGTTAAAACGAAATTGTCCTTTTTTTTTTGTCTTTGGGACAAAATTCAGTTGGATTTGTTGAACAGTAGTTTTCCAATCTGTTTAAGGTGGTATGTTATTAGCTAGAGGTAAATATCTTAAGATGGAATAAAATAAAGCACCCTTTTCTAAGGTCTTAAAAGTGAAGATATAAAGATGAGAGGAATATCAATAATAGTTATAAAAGAATGATAAGACCTATGTGGCCCTTATTTCTAAGACAGTTTCCTTGGAAACCCTGGAAAACAATCCTGGAAATTTGGAATCAGTGGCATTAAGGAGTAAAGAATTATCTAAATCTTTATCATCTGAATGGTTTCTGTGACTCTGGTGTTGGGCTAGTTTGTTCTGAATGGTTTCGTCATAAAGCAGCATGGAAATAGAAAGCCCTGCACCGACCACTGTGCAACCATTGTTCAAACTCTTGATCTCCCACTAAAGAGCTGTACATTTTTGGGTGAATCTTTCTTTGGTTTCTAAGTTCACATGTTACACATAATAAAGGGATTGGAGCTATCCAGAACCTCCCAAGATGGCTGCGTCAGGAAGGATGCTAAGTTAGCAGGGCTCTCTTCCTTCTATGCCTACATTAGTCAGAAAAGATCTTTGAATGTCCATGTAATATATTAGCTTTTATTTAAGTTTTCTTTGGAAAAAGTTCTTTGGCTTTAAAAAAGCATTAGCTTAGATTTCCTAAATTTTTATTCAGCCCTGCATACTGTGATTCTATAAAATGTATTTGTGCATTTTATAGTACCTAGCCAAAAACTCTGCCTATAGTACCTAGCCAAGAACTCTGCTAAACATCGGAGATAGGGAAGAAGACTTAGCAAGTTTCCTTATCTCAGACCATATAACCTAGTGGAGAATACTGACAGATTAAAAATCATTGCAGGGTATCATAACTCAGTGATGGGAATATACAGGTCGATAAAAGAGAATGTACTGGTTAAGGCTAGGAAAGCCAACTAGATGAAAGTAGAGAACGTATTTCAGCAACTGCAGTGAGGGAAGGTTTCTCTGAATAGGGGACAAGTAAATTGAGACCTGAAGAATGAAAAAGAACCCATCATGCAAAGACCGGGAAGATCCTTCAAGGCCGATGGAATGGCAAAGGCCAAGACGTAGAGGTGAGAATGAGCTAATAATTTTTTTTAGAAAACTAGAAGGAAACTGTAGCAGCTGCAGCATAATGAATAGTGAAAAGTTGTTCAAGGTGAACATGAAGAAGTAGGTAAGAAACAGATCATGAAGATGCCGTTGAAGGGTTTCAAGCGGAAAAGGAACATAGTCTCTGAGGGGAATTGCTCTAGAATGTCCAACTTCATTTGACAATATCTAGTATTATTGGTTATCTCGAGGGATGAAGTTATTTACAGGAAAAGAGCAAAGTAAATTTGAATTTTAAAATTATGTGATGCAACTGTGCACAGTAGCTCACACCTATAATCTGAGCGCTTTGGGAGGCCTAGGTGAGAAAATTGTCTGAGCCCACAAGTTCAAGACCAGCCTGGACAACTTGACGAGACCTCATCCCTGCCATAAATCAAGTAGAAAAATTAACCGGGCATGATGGTGCATGCCTGAAATTGCAGCTACTTGGAAGACTGAGACGGAAGGATCACCTAAGCCTAGCAGATCAAGGCTGCAGTGGCTATGAACATGCCACTGAACTCCAGCCTGGGCAAGAGTGAGACTCTGACTCAAAAAAAAAAAAAAAAAAAAAATTATGTGATGTGCTAAGACAATTTAATGAGCGAAAGAATGGGCTTTTCAAAAATGATGCTAAAACAACTGGATAACCCCATGCAAAAGAATAAGATTGACCCTTCCTTACACTATACACAAAAATTAACTCAAAATGGGTTATAGACCTAAATGTAAAACACGGGAAGCCGGGCATCACAGCACATGCCTATAATCTCAGCAC